TAAGAAATTTTGAAAGAAAAGCGGGTTATTATACGAATATTAAAACAAACCGTACCACTTGGAGAGTTCACCACCACTTAACCGGTTTATATAGAACCAAAATAATGACCAGCTCCCCGTTGGCTTGTTAGCTCAGTTGGTAGAGCGCTGCACTAGTTTCGCAGAAGTCTTGGGTTCAAATTCCGTCGGGCCTGAATTTTTTTCAGGCCTTATTTTTACCATTAGTTAAATGTACATATGATCTTAATATATTTACAGTCATTTGTAAACCGTACAATAGTTAACTGGCTGACGAGACGAGTCTAAAGGTTACATAATGTTTCTAGTTTGAATGGCTTCAAATTTTATCATCCGGAATAACGTCACCTGACCATTGTTGACGTTGAAGAAAATCCGGATAAGATTTCACTCGCTTCTCCTTTTTCTCGTCCATCCACAGCATAACAATAGCTGCTAGAAACGACTCCTTCTTCATTTAAGTTACATTTGATATGCCAGTATAGTAATTTCGTTCTATGTGTTCTTGTCTCTTCGTACGTACCTTTTTATTTATTTATTTATTTATTTATTTTTAAGAGCTATTACCAGATGTTATAAGTATGGAGCTAAGCTTTGCACACACTGTTAGATCTGCTTCAACTCGTCTCCGTCGCTGTGTTTTTTAAGTAAATGTAGTTTTGGTATCTTTTGTTTGAATCGTAGATACATTAATGTTTCATGATGACTCATCGATTGCTTGCTTGAACTGTGTGTCCCTTAGCATCAACAGTTTATCACTGGTAGGAGATGGAGCAAGAAGCACTGTCACAGCACAGGTAAGAAATGGATATTACTTACTTATTCGCTCACTCAAACGGCACTCATTCTTCACAAACCAATTCTGTGATCAACTAATCCATATTATGAGTGAGGCGTAGAGCGAACCTATTAATTTCTATCCTCTATGACGATTAAAACTGGATTTATAGATGAAGAGTGAAATCATCTGTTTTATTTTTCAACGTAAAAGTGACTGAGTGTCAATCGGCAAGGAGAGTTGGACTTTCTAACTACGACGGTTAGAGTAATCCGTGATTTTAACGAGAGAAGCTGGATAATTGGAAAGTTGAGATAAAAGTCATAATCCATTAAATGTCTTGCTTTCGTGCGATTGGTCTACACGCATCGGGTGAGGGGAATATCCTCTGGCTAAAACTGGAAGATACCCGAGGATAAACCCCAGCTGATATTTCCCAATTTTCAAACCTCGTGTCCAATAAAGAAAACCCTGCTTATTAAATTCATTTAAGTCATTTAAGGTGAGAGGGCAATGTGTGGTTGTTACAGAAGAAGGGATTCTTTTTTTTCATTCAAGCCGACAAAATAAAATCGTCGTAGGAATTGTTTAGCGCGGTTCAGGGGGGGAGGGCGTATCCAGGTTAATCTTGACTGGGTCATTATTGCCGCTGTGCGGACATTCAGCGATTTTCAAAATGGCAAGCAAATTTGTCACTCGTTACCTTCCGAAAAATTTGGAATTAAGATTCAGACAATAAGCTAGAATTTTTATGTAGTTTGGGTGAGGATAAGAAACGCAGGAGCTTTATATTACATATGAAAACATACTACCAAGTGGCCGATTCGTCGGTTGAAAATATTCGGTTGGTTTTTCCCTTTTCCCAGAGCTCTCGGGTTGATTCGGAAATGTCCTGATCCTAAAAAAAGATTTTGGGGCCTATTTTACTGATCGAGATTGAAATATAACATACCAAAGTTGACCGTTTACGCGAATCTTTAATCTTGCAAGCAATCCACGAACCACAATCAATGATCAATCTCACAATCAATCAGTCAATCAATCGAACGATCGATCGATCTGACGAAATGTTGCGAAATACATAATCAAAAATCGCGTATAAAGAGCTGGGCCTTAACGCCGATAACGAGATTAAAATGATAATAAACAATACAAAAAAAACCAATACAAACTACGTTAAAGTATAAAAGTTACAAGAGTTTGGTGGCTGGTTAACAGCCTATCGTTCTTATCTAAACGGTAGGTGTTCACTTGCACCTGTAACAATTTTGGCCTTTAAATCTCGAATCAACGAAGTATATGTTTGTATATTTTCGCCCAATGCTGTAAAACTAAATAAGAAAAACAAAGTTACAAAGGTATTCACATATCGGTCCCGCTTATGCCAAAGGTTTAAAAAAAGAACAGACGAAAGTTCACCAAGACTGATCAAAAACTTGCGAAGAGCTGATTGTAACTATGTTCGTATCTAGGATCATTCTAAAATAATTAAACTAAACAATAATTAATTAAATAAAAATGAGCCTTCTGGCTAGTGTCCTTAACACATCCCCTTCCTCCTGGCGCAGTCATTTTGATGCTGCACTTTCCTTCCATATTTTAGCCTACTTCTATATTGCAATACCTTGGTATTCCTTGCGTGTCTCGTTGCCGTATTATGGTTATACGGTAATGTATGGGACTAATAATAATATGTGCTTTTTAGGGATGGAAGATGATTATATTCAATGTAAAATTATCTTCTTAACATTCAATTTGCAAGAATATAACAAGTACCAATGATAGAAACAGTAAATCGTTTGAGCCTGATTACTTCTGGAGCTTCACGATGTTCAGGCACCATGCTAGCGGCCTCTATTTGGGATGCAATTACTTTCAAGAAACAGAACTGTTTGAAGTTAAGGAATTTGCGTATCCAGATCCTCAAATTCTTTTTGTCCTTACCAAAGTTGACTAACTTCAAAAGAAAACTGATGAAGAATCGTGGCTGTTCACGTTTATTCGCATTCACTGCAAAGTCAATTTTTATGCAGCTATGCGAAGCTTTTAAATTTCAATGTTATAACTGTGGCATACAAGTATACAGATGTCTTGCAAAAGAGATATATGTCTGACATTAACTTTGATCATGTCAAGAGCCACGGGTTGAAAAGGCCAAAGGTTTACTCATTTTCATCATGGAATTGATATAATCAGTAGGATACGCAAGTATACGTAGAAGAACTCCATCTCTTAAATCTAGTTGAGCCTACAGTCATTGTCCTTAATCTGTTTCAAATCAACTGCATAATGCACTCCGATCACAAATAGTTTATAAAGAATTGTTTCATCTGACCTGTAAATAAGACTGCTGATGACATATTGATCAACTGGTCACTTTTCGTCTCATTCGCAGGTCAGAACATTTGCAATTTTTTTTATGTACAGTGATTGTGATCTGTTTCCTTAATGAGGAACAGGGTAGCTACGAAGATTTCAGTTCGTAATGACGCCTTACTAATATGTAAAAGGCACAGAATGATGTCCAGTCTAAGCCTGAAGTTTAGTTAGATTTATTATTATTATTACAGTTAACTTTTAAAGATCCGTTCCTTTCTCGTTATACAGTATTCTTATAGACCTCCTGTTGGATAACGATGAGATAAAAAGTTGTCTCTTTAAACATACGAAGGTAACAGTAACTGCTGACAGCAACTTAACCAAAGACGAACAACAAGCACTGAAACGACTGAAAAACGACAAGAACATTGTGAAGAAGGTAACGACATTCGTTAAAGGCTATAGTATAATAGCCGAAAGCTCATATTTTAAAACCTTTTTAACCAGAGAACGTATTTTACCTTCTTCACTATGTCATATCCTGGTTACAGTTCAATTTTTAGACAAGAACATTGTTATACTACCAGCCGACAAAGGACGTGTTACTGTTGTTATGGACAAGACTGACTACTATGACAAAATGGACGCACTTGTTAACGACAAACAAACTTACGAATTACTTAAACGTGACCCGACGCCAGCACTGCAACGCAAACTCAACAACAAACTACTTACGCTCAAAAAGACTGACGCCTTTGACACTCAACGCTACTACCGACTGAGGTGCTCTGTACCACAACCACCTAAACTTTACGGACTACCAAAACTACACAAACCTGGGATACCTATGCGACCTATAGTCTCATTCCATGGGTCCCCGACGTACCAACTGTCGAAATACCTTACGACGATACTGCAACCACTGACTGACAAATCGAGACGTAAACTGCAATCTACTGAGAACTTTATTGACGCTATCAAAGACGTACAGATACCTGACGACTAAAAACTTGTGTCTTTTAATGTGAAATCACTGTTCACCAGTATTCCACTTCAGTTGGCTCTACAGTGTACTGAAACCGCCATCCAACAGTCTACTGATGCACTACCATTACCGACAGAAGACATTATGGACCTATTTAACCTCTGCCTTACATCGACTTACTTTCAGTACAACGGGAAACACTACAAGCAGTTGCACTGAACAGCTATGGAGTCGCCGGTCTCCGTTGTTGTCGCAGAAATTGTGATGCAAAACATCGACGAACGCGCCCTTGCAACTTGCCGACAAACCATACCGCTTTGGTTACGCTACGTTGACGACACATTTACCGCCGTACACAAAGACGAAATTGACGCTTTTCACAATCACCTTAACGAAAAAAACACCGACATTCAGTCTACCAGGGAGATCGAAGAAGACGGCAAGCTTCCTTTTCTCGACTGTTTGGTAGGCCGAAACAACAACGAACTACGAACAACAGTATACAGAAAACCAACGCATACCGACAGACTGCTTGACGAATCATCCTACAACCCGACTTCCCACAAAGCTATGACTATCAAGACATTGACAAGACGAGCGCAACTTGTTTGCTACACACCGGACAGTTTATCTGACGAAAACAAGTACCTTGACCGTGTTTTGACAAAAACAACTACAACACTGATTTCATTAGACGAAACACTCACAGGGGCGACCGACATTACAGAAACTAACAGGGACTCCACATCTGTCACGACTACAGCTACTATACCCTACATCAAAGGCACTTCTGAGGCTATCGCGCGGATCCTACCTCACAACATTCACGTAGCTCACAAGCCTATTACTACTTTAGACATTTACTGACCAACGTTTAAGACAAAGACGAACCCAACAACAGACAGGGAGCGATTTGTAAGATCGAATGCTCCGACTGCCAGGCCTCCTACATTGGTGAGACTGGTAGAAA